GAAAAAATTATTCACAAACTCCTTAACCTCTAAATTAACACAAATCCACAGTATCTAATTTAAATCACAAAAATTCTCAAAATGAAAAAAAATGTCAGTTCTCCAAGCACTTTCTTACTTTAAAGCCATTATTTCACTTCTATAAATCAAATTCTTTAGATGATAAATTAAATCAGAACATGATGGAGTTATGTCATTTAACATTGACTTTTTTTGTGAATTGTTCGTCTCTTTCTCTTTCACTTTTCAAAACCAGTGTCGTCAAGGACTCAAATGTCAGAATTGACAAGAGAAATTTATATTCCTATAGAAGAGGTTGAATGGAAGGAATAAAAGAATTTTGTGAATGTAGAACGCCCTTATGAGCATGTAAGACGTAAGTTATGGTTTAGTATGATGAAGGGGGATGTTCAATTGTGATGTAAGCGTTAGAGAGAGGGTATGTAATTTTCAAGGCATTTTATAAATTTTTTTTAAATTAATAATTCTATAGTAAAACGAGAAAAACTCTAAAAATCAAAATTTTTTATTGACATCACTTGTGAACGACCCTCAAAAAGATGTAATTCGATATCCAAACACGTCTTTCAAAGCAAATAATTTTTTATGCCATTTTTTGATATTTGGAGATTAGTGATTAAGTACAGATTTTTCAACAGACGTCACTTTTGTATAATCCCTAAAACATATAATTTAAGCATCCAAAAACATCATTCCACATTTTAAAAATAAAATAATTGTCAACTCGCTGTATATTTTATCCAGATAATGGTGAATGAGTGAGATAGAAGGAGAGAGTGAGATGGAGAATAAGAAAAGCAGGTAGATGCGAAGCCCTTTTACTACGTATACGTATATGAAAGCACATAAAAAACTCCATGAATGAATTAGACGAGCTTTTTCACTTTCACCAAAAAAAAATTCATTCTTTACTTTCAACACCCAAAAATATTCTTTTTTTTTGTTCCTTAAAAAAGGAAAAACTTGAAAAATAATTTTCTTTTTGAAAATTTTTTGCGTCCCTAGCAAGGCAGCTTCCTTTTTTTTCTCAAACACATACGGACGGAGGTTGATGCTGCTGCTTTTACAACTCCCTTTTTTTCAATTTTTTTATGTATTTTTTTAATTCCTTTTTTTTGTCACAAACACACACAAATGCTCAATTTTTTGTCACCAAAATATCATTTCATCTATTTTTTGCACACCTTTTTCGATTTTAAAAAAAATAATTGTTGATTCAAAAAAATATTAAATTGGATTCCTCTCACTTTTTTTTCTTTTATTCCTTTCCCAATTGTACATATATGAGAATATATTTTTTTCTGCACAGATTCACGTCCACAACCGTTGTAGATTCAAAGCGACTACTTTGAGCGAAGAACGATTCCCAACTGTTCCGTTTTAGCAAAGAAAATGTATGGATGGACTTGAAGACACTCTCAGCACAGTGAGAAGATTTTTGTTTTTTTCGTAAGACTTTCCAATGAAATTCACGCAAGTGAGAGTACGGGCTGAGTGAGAGTATTGGAAAGGGAGCTGCGCTGGAACGAATTTGTTGCTTCTTATCACCACCACATGATTGCTGATACTTATCAACAAAAGATGATGAGATGAAATTTAAATTTTTGTATGTAAAAAATTGTCTATTTTTCATTTGAAGGACAAAATTATGCAGGAATGGTGAGGAAGTTATGGACCATTTTTAAGGCTCGAAATAAAATTTGAATTTAAATTTTTTTTATGTTTTCATCTTCTTACATTTTCCTAGAATTTAGCAAAGCAACAGTTATCTCAAATTATGGAAATTGTACTGGAACGAGGTGACAACAATTGAATGCTGAGCAGGTAGAGCTATGAGAATTGATGCTGCGCACTTTTCTCTTTAGCATTCACAATTTTCTCTCCCGAAATTTACTTTTGCTGATATTTGTGGAATTATTATATTTTTTTTTTGTGGTATGTGTAGAAAGTTTGTGGTATGTTTTAACATCATTGTTCTTTATGTCTATGAAAAAAATATATGGAGAAAAAAAAAAGTTTTTAGAAAAACATGCCAGAAAAAAGGGGTTAATTTTATTGTTATTTTTAAGGGAAATTATTATGCCAATTTGAATTTAAAGAGCCTCTTTTGTGTTAGGCTTGAAAATGTTTAAATGAAAAATTATTTTAACAAACATTTTGTTCTTAGAATTTAGATTCAAATATGACATTCTTTCATTATGACTGCTATGGGTTGAAGGTGTGCTCAACCTTTATTTTAATTTAAGAGTTAAATTTATTTTATACAAGAAACTTTAAATACCAATCTTATACTATTTATTCATCGGCACATGTTTAATATAAGCACGTGCTCAAAACAAAAACAATTGCACAAAACTAATTTTTATGAAGTATCATTTTGAAAAGTGCAGTGGTTCTCAAACTGCGTGACGAGATTCATAATAATTTTTTGAGATTTTCAGGCTGCTTAATTAAAAACAAATTTAATAAAACTACAGTTTTTCAAAATATTTTCATGGCAAAGCTGCATCGCGTCAAAATAATTAAATTTCATAATAACTGCAATTTACAATCAATACATTGATGTGAGTGAGTAAGCCCGAAACAAAATTCTACATAAACCATAGAAAGTACACAATTTTGTGTTTAGAAAACATTGTGAAAATCGTTGAGTTTTCCTCCTTAAACGAATGAAAAGTAAACTTGCATGAAAAACTTGAACAAGAAACTTTTGCAATTTTTTTGAATTATAAAAAACTGTTAAGCAAAATTCTCGCACAATAAAATTCTTTTGGCGTTAAGGATTCAAAGTTTTTTAATCTATCAACTTTCAACGGTTCCATAAAATTTTTAAAATTATCTCGGATACACTTTTGAATTTCAAAATTACGTTAAAAGTGACATTCGTCATGTCAGAACTTTTTCCTTTAAATTAAGTGCAAAGTCGGAAGAGAAAGCCAATGAGTTTCGAGAATTAAGAAAGAGGTATTGAAATCAAAGAAAAATGATGGAAATATTAATTTATTGCAATAAATCAATAACATTTCAAAGTTCCAAGAAAGATTTATCGCTGGGTTATGGAAACAGAAGTGCTGAATTTTGTCACTCGAATGCAAAGAGGAATTCATAAGGAACATTGAATGGGCTCGTGTAAATGCATAAACGCAGGTCTAGCAAAATCATCTGAAACTCAGACTTTGTCTAAAATTGTTTTAATTTCAGTCAATTACATGCAATAAATACCATAAATCCGATTAAACAATCACAAACTATAGAATCACTCAAAATACCTAATTCCCTAATTACATTCAAAGAGATTGTCACTTCATTCAAACATTGTTTAATTAGTAATAAAGACAAACCTCAAACATCAACAATATTACAGCTTTGTCATTCAGAAATTAAATTATGCAATTAAAATGCAATAATTTAAATAATATAAAATAAAGTCTTGACTAATTAAGTATTTACCATAAAATTATGAACGAATTATTATTATGCATAGTCTATAGAGCATGTCCATTCATCGAGTGAGCAGCTCTTCCTCATTTGAACCTTCTTTGGTTCTGTTTTTGTTGTAACCTAATATAACCCTAAAAATGATTTACTTTAAAATTATTAAATGAGGCTAAACGTGAAAAGCTTCTTATTGTGTCATAGATCCTCAAAAAATAACATAAATCTTGAGTTTACTGGATTAAAGCAGCATGAGCCTACCTTCTGTAAAAGATTTTTATTTTTGAAAAACAAAGGACATTTAAACTCTCGAGACATAAAAAAAGTCACACAACGAAGATTGTATAAGCTTAAGCTTCAGTAATCAGACAAAAGATACCCAAGTTATTAACAATGAATCATTGTCTTAAATCGTAAAATAATACTCAATCTCGATTGCAAGTCATATTGAATTAGCATCCTTATTTTATCCCTTATCAGTCAACAGGTCAGAGAATGAATTCACTTGAAAATCGTAAAAACCCGTAATTGATTCCTAGAAAATTAGGATATGATGATGATTTGAAAAGAAAAATTCAGTCAGAATTGAATAAATTTGCTCCGTCTTATTCTACGCAAATTGTTAGAAGGACTGAACAGATTATATGAAAAGTAAATATGCTTAATGGCTTTTGCAACGATATAACGAAGAAGAAGGGCAGAAAAAAAGGTCGCGACGATAGAAAAAGTTCTACGTCTTAAATTTCAATTTGAATTGGCAATTGCTGCAAGGAAGTGGAAGGTTCAAATAATTAATGAAACTTGTTGATCAAAGTGCAGATTTCCTGAAATTGGATTTGAGATGAACTAAACTAATCAGAAGTATTATGGAACAGATTATTGATGATGCTTGATAATTAGTCAAGGATCTCTTGCATGAACGAATCTGTTCTAGATAAGACTCCTTCTGCTGTTTCGATTCTCGCTGGATTTAATGATATAATAAATAATTTGAGTACTTGAAAACTGCAACGAAAACAGAGCAACGAAAGAAACTTTAATCACTTATTACGTTCGCATTTTATGGGGGGGGGGGGGTTGAAAAATTGTAACAAAATGTAACATCGGGGGGGGTGGGGGGGTGTCAAAAAGTATACCAAAAACATTTTTTTAAATTTTCCACCTTTTTAATGATAAAATAAATAATGAACGTTCTGGGTGGGGGAGGAGGGGGGGGGGGGGGGTTGTGAGTTGTTACATATTGTAACAAAGGGGGAGGGGTGGTTGTGAAAAAAGTCGTTTTTTTGCGTAACTTTTTCGAAAATTATCGTTTTTAAACAGTGCGGAGAGCTAATAATGGAATGTGATATGTATGCCAAGTTTAAGTGCAAAATTGTGGCTTTTTCATTTTCCATAAAGTTGTTTCTCCCTAATCACCATGCTTGATTTGATGTCTAAGTACATCATTTATCAAAAGATCTGCAGAAACATTGAAAATGCTAGAAAAAAAAAATGAATCATCTGCAATAAAAAGCAATTAAAGTCAAAATTAAAAGAAGTCAGTTCAGTTTTCCAGAAACTTTAAACTTTTTCTTTATTATTTATTTTTGGAATCGAAAGAGCATAGTTTTACATTTCAATAATTGCTGATTTATACAGATAATCTCACATTCATTATTTTTTGATTCATTTGCAGTGCGCTTAATATGAGAGAAGGTAGCTTGGGAGGAAGTTGTAGTAATATTGGGGATCAAGTGCTTTAAACTTGTGTTGCAAATTTTCCTGGTGACAATCGCTTACGTCTTCCTGGACCGCCAGCAAAGTTTGCAATTTGCATTGCCATACGATGTTTTGCTTCCTGCGCGCCTGAATAGCCTCTTGATAATCCAAAATCAACAGTACGCTTTGAACTGGAAAAAAAGAGGGGAAAAAATTGATGTTAAATTGAGCGTCATGTAGGATAAGTAGCTACTGAATTTGTTTAATCAAAATAAAAGAGGTCGAAAGCTATTCACTTTGATATGCGTAATGACATCAAGTGACGTTTTAGATTTCAATTAAATTAAAATTTCAATTTTAAAACAAAAATATTCTATAAACTAGCATGGCCTGGATTTCATCAAATTACAGTACACAAAAGTGAATAATCGAATTTGATAGCATTTTGTGGCTTGCTGCATATTCCATAAATTAACTTCTCCATCAATAAATTTTATGAAATATAATACACAAAATATCGAGAAGCTGCTCACTCCACCTGCTCAATTTCCCATAAGCTTCAATCTTATCTTTTCGAAAAGAAAAATATTAATGTAATATTCAGTTCCAATTGGAAAGTTTGAAAGTTTTCCTCTCGAAAAGCAAATTAGATTTGAAAACTTGGACAGAAAACTGCAAAGTGCTAAAGCTATGGATATAAATTAAATTTTTCATTTTTGTCAAATTAGAATTTCTTAAGACATAAATTGTTTATTGACATCCAATTACTTTGGACAGATTCTTCATAAAATATTCAATTCAGATTGAGCAGCTCAATTTTATGATGAAATTGACAATGTATCAAATTGTGTAATGTTTATGTGCATGTGATTATTATCTATGCATAAAATATTATTCATAGCTTCTCAAATTTTCCAGTGGAAGAAACCCATAAGCACATTATACACTGACGACAGTTTCATGATAATCATGCTTATGTGATAGAAATCTATTTTTCATGTTTTATAAGATTAAATATGCTATTTTGTCATTTCCGTTATGATAATTTTGAGTGCATCATGTGAACTTGATTTATGCAGATTTATGATTTATTTATTGACTCAATTTTGATGGTTATTGAAGTTGCATTATGAATAGATTTGGTTTTAAAAATAGCAAAATTGATTATGGTCGTTCAGTTATTTTATAGAAGAAGTTCCCTACCTCGCAAGTTCTGACAGCAATCAAACCGTTAAAAATTCAAATTTATTTTGCAATTTAAATTTTATCTAACCGTTATAGATCAACCCAATTTTGTGTCCATCTACCTTATCGACAGCCATTCAGCGGTCAAAAATAAAACCAATGCGGCATAATTTACACCCAATAGCATCCTTAATGGAAATAAAATTTAAGGTGCTGTAAAATAATATTTTATTGCGATCGAAAGGAAATCTGCATGCTCTTTTCTTCTTCACGCGGATAAGGTGTTGATTGCTGGATTTGCATTTTAATGTTGAATAAATATTTACTCATGAAATTTGAATGCTCAAGTAAGTGCTTACTTTCTTGACCTGAAGAGGTTTGATCTGTTTAAGTTGGGTATTTTTGGATTTTATCGAAAACTTTAGGAAATTTTGAATTATCCAATATTTACACTTTATTAGTCATCATCAGACACCTACTTTTGGTTTTCGTGTATCTTAACCATGCTTGTTAACTTCAATAAATGCTTTTCTCTCTGCTTAATAAAAAATTATTTATGATGATAAATTTCACCCACTAGAAATATAATCAGCTTCAGAAAAAAAGACACCTTATTTAAGTGTGCTAGCATTTTCCGAGAATGTCACGTTTAATTCAATTCTCTAGGGATAAATTAGCTTTATATTAGTTTAGCAACCTAAAGTGTAGTGCTTGTTGAGAAATTAAATTTGGTGGGAAATAAATGAATAAAAAATGAATGAGTAAGTTTGTCCACAAAGAATCCTCATAACACAAAGGCACATAGCAAGGATCAAAGGGATTTTGAAGAAAATTTTCAAACTCTAATCTAGTCAATTTCAGTTCCATATCTTTCAAATCTACATTTCTAGATCATTTTTTGTGCCCAAATTTTAACCGAACTTTAATTTTATTCTAGTATAAAATCCATTTTCGATTCACAAAAAATAGACTTAGCTACCGCACGGTACAAAATCCACAAAATATGTATCTTTCCACAAAATATGTATCTATCCACAAAATATATATCTATAGTCTGCATAAAATTTACATCAAATCTTCTATCCCTCATAAATAAATTCTCAATCCTTTTCATCGTTTTCCGGAGAAAAAAAAGTTAATGCACAAAAGCTTTGTCTGTATCATTACCGTCTGGATTATTTCATAAAGACACAAATAGAGTTATTTAAGATTTTGATTAATGTTGATCTGCATACTTTTCTCCTCTACCAGAACCCTTTTTCCATTTACTTCCTTATCGCTTCAAGATTTTTTTTTTCCATTTTCATTGTCTTTCTATAACTTTTTATCGGAATTGAAATTCAAAATGAGGGAAGACATCTCATTATGAGCATTTTTAATGAAGTTTCCGACATGTGCTAATGCTTATATTTGTGTCTGACTGTCCTGGATAGGAATTTGGTCAAATCTAGATGTTCAAGAGCTTGTTGAATCTAATTTAACAATTAACTTACAAGTTTAGCTAAAATTCATTCATCCTTAAATCTATTGTTGTTCAGCTAATCCAGATCTATCCAGGCAATCCCTATTCATGTCAATTGAATTTCCAAAAAAAAATACAAGCTTCAATAATTTTACATTTTCTACCTTAAAATCTACCCACAAAAGTATCATTTCTTTTGAAATTTCAATTCAATTTCCTTAATTTTATTATCTTTTTCTTGTACTTTATGTCAACATACAAGCTGAATTTTCTTCCTATTTATATGCCTAAAGCTAAAAAAATAAAGGTATATGAAAATAAAATTTGTATTTTGTCCAAATAATGTACAATATTTTTACATGCATAGTGAATTTTTAATGTTATGGTTTTTATTCTCTTTTCTCTCCCTTTTATGGTCCATGTGCCTTAAATAATATATGCTTGCTTATTCTTTTATCCTTGTTGGATAATTGATCGAAATAAAGATATCAATTTATTCGATTATTTGGAAAAAGATTTGTACCCAGCTTTGTATTAAAGGTAGAAGGAGGCTTCATAGTCCAATTTATGCATTTTTAAAGTCATGACTACTGAAAGGAACTATGAACTTAGGGGCCATTCAATTATTACGTAACGCTTTTAAGGGGAGGGGAAGTCTAAGATTTTGTTACGGTTCAAACAAGGAAATTTTTTTTTCATACAAATTTTGTTACGAGGGGGGGGGGGGGGGGGTTCTAAGAAGTCATTTTTTCGCGTTACGTAATAAGTGAACAGTCCCTTATCTGAAAGGTCATAAAAAACATCTTTGCATTCATATTTTCCAAATATTTTCAATTAAACGCAAAAACTATCTAAAATGATATTTTGTATGTCTAATCCTCATCCCACACACAACACACTCAGTTTCCATTGATTTATTACAAATCACATGACGTTAATAAAGTAATTGAACAGATTTTCATACACATCCACTTCAGATTCCATTTCAACTTTTTTTTTATCAACAACCTGAACATGTGAAAATTTCCCACAGAGGTTGTTGATCGTAGATTAAACCACTCTTGGTCATCATAACTCAAATCAAGAACAACAAGCGTTGCACTTTTATGTGGATTATAGACGCCTACAGTGAGAATGAAATGAGTTAATCCTAGACTCATATCGGCTTTGCAGGAGGCATTCAATCATTTTCATAAAGTCGACCGAAGTCTGTGTTTGTTTAACATTTTTCCACAAGTTTTTTTAAGGATTGTCTGATCTATTCTAATTTTATGAGATTGCTTTTGTTAATTATTTATAAAGGTTGTAATTTATTATTAATAAATTTAATTCAAATTACGATATTGCTCATTTTTTTCTTTAAAAGATTCTCAAAAGGAAATTTTTATCAAGAACATTTTCTTTGAAATTAGATTTTAATGGAAAACATAAAAAGTGTAATGTGAGTTTTTATGAATTCCGGATTAGCTTGATCAAACGCCTATAAAGTAATGAAAAACCAAGTTTGTTTGATTAAAAGATGAATAACATTAGTCAAGAACTTTGCAATAATGTTTTAGAACTTCAGAAACGCGAAAATTCGAATTCAAAAATTATTTGTTTTCATTTCCATATGAAGATTCGATAACTTAATTTTGATTTAGCTACATGTTTATTTAGCATTTAAACTATTCAAATGTACAGAAAAAGTGTGAGCAAAGCTTGTTTAATCATTATAATTTCCTTATTAATCCCAAACATTGAAAAAATTCTTAATATAGTTCAAAACCTACAAAATTTTGGAAAAGTGCAAGAAAATTTTAAAATCCTTAAAATAACTATCGTTCCAATGATTTAATTTGCATGAGATAATAAAACTAGCTTCAAAATTGTGTAAACCTTATACTTTCCCACTTCAAAAATATTTTCAGGTTGTGGACAAAAACAACAGAAAACTTGCCATGTGCAAAAATGCTTTTAACAATATTAATTTTTCTCTTGATGGCTCCTGTTATTTTTCTTTAATCTCTTTCAAGATATTGCTTTCATTTTCTAAGCTCCTTCCTCCATCCACCGACTTAAATTTCGTTATTAATTATATTTGAGTTATTACACGCCGTACACAATAAATTGCTTATCTTATGATATCATTTTTTACTGAGTACTGTACAGTGAATCGTTGTGATGGTAAATTTTAATCCTCTGAATGAGAAATGTAAGAATTAATAACCTGTCTGGTCAATTCACTAGAAACTTTCATGTTCTCAAGAGTCTTCAATTCGCCACAATTATTTTTAGTTTTGAGCTCATTTGAAGTTTATAGAACCAGCAATATTTCCCAAAGAAGATTATTACACATTTGAGTTGAACTTAAAATGTACAAATTTTTCTCATATGTTGCAATAATAAGTTGTAATTCTCCATGGAAATCATCATCAGATGCTGTTTTCATTAGCAAACATCCAGTGACCTCAACTTTCCGTTTTTAAGGTTTTGGCATTAAACATTTTTGAAAAATTTTCAATAAAAATTAGAATTGCATTTACATGTTTGATTTCTATACTTTTATTACAAGAATTAATGACGTTAGGTAGAAAGTTGGCATCTAGACCGCAAAATGTTTTCGTATTTTCTCTAGTGAGATGGTTAATGGTTGTGGCTTCTTCGAAATGGAATATTCGTGTTGGTAATTTCATAATTCATATGAGTATTTGGTAAGTAAAATTATTTGTGTGCTTTTCTAGGAAATTTTGTTATTTAAGTACTTCTGATCTTTAAGGAAATGCTTCTGTTAAAAAACTAAAAAATAACGGTCGACAAATATTAAAGATTAAAATTGAACCATTGGATCCATGACAGGATCCCAAGATTTTCAAAATTATATCTTTTTAAATTATATTTTCATTATTTATTCTGCATTTTAATTGATTTTCTCAAAATGCATCGTGTAACATCTAAAACCCTCAATAAACATCATCAAATTGAATTAATATTAAATATCACAGCGTATCATTTCCTACTTTATATGTTTACACGAAAATCTTTAGCTATATAGCATGTTTGATCATCAAGCACATGCTCAACAATTCACATGTTTATAGCGAATCCTTAAATCAATAAATACATCCTTTTACATCCTACACTATTCAATTATTTAAGATGTTATTTTTAATTCAGTTTTACTATGTATCACAATCACATGAGATGCTTTGCAGAATGAATTATTAAGCTCTGCTGAAATGATGTTCTGATGTTACATGAATCAGTTCTGATAGAAAAATGAGCTATTTACTATAAATATCAATTTGCTGAGATATCATTTTCAACACATACTCTTATTTGTTCATTTTTTAATGCTGTTTGTTCGTTCAACTTGTTGAAAATTGTTTGATAGGAAAATTAAAAATTGTGGGGAGAAAATGTCATGGATCTGAGTATTCTAAGTGCATCCTAATCGATACGAAGTAGTGAATAAATAGTAGGAAAGAGCCCAGTCTTTTGAGCTGCGATTCAATTAAGGCAGAATCAATTGTACCAAACCAATCGCGTTCTTGGCGATAAAAGTGAAATGTACAATTTAGAAGCTAAATGTCTCATCGGATTTAGCTTGTAAACGAACTTAAGATCTTTGGCACTTAGTGCCGATGCCTAATCTCTGCAAAAATGTTCTCACTCGAAACGCTTTTCTGAATTAGACCAAAAATAGGACACAACTTAGTCTCAAAATCTCCTAACCCAAATGTTTATGATTCCTCATAATTTAGCTTGCACAACTCAACATGATTTATCTCTTCCTCACATCCTCAGATGAATAAAAGAAAACTTTTGCAATCAAAGTAATTCTACATGTTTTCGCCTTACGGTTAGATGATCTATAAAATTTAATTAGCTTGACAGCTAGTAATGGAGGCAGTATAAATGGAATTGGTGTAGTAAATTCTATAAATAAGTCATTTATGGGTTAACGCTTAAAGCAAAAAAAGTAGTTTGATGTGCTCATCCAATATTAATTTCTATGAATGACCACCGAGAATCGCACCGTTTACAAAAATTGAAGCTGAAATCTACAATAATTTGGAATTCATGTCCACTCACGAAAAAAATTGGACATAGAACAATTTGGTGTAAATGTTATGCTGTTTTACAGAAATTTTGTGTCCGTAGGAAGAAAACAGAACAGCAATGAATATAAGTGACTCAAAAATGCAAAAATTGTATGCTTAAATGTTTCTATTGCTCCCAATGAATTTCACATCCATAATATGTAAATGTCCACATTACACGAATTCCCACAAGAATGAACAGAATGAAATTTAATTTAAACTTACTTCTCGAGATCATTTCTTGCATTCATTATCGTTTGTCCATATCGTGCTATTAAGTCAATTAAAAATTCATCAGGCTGATCATCTATGTCATTATACATGGGCTGGTAGTAACTGCAAAGAGACAAGAAAATTGGATAATTGTAATAAGTACACAATCAAATCATAAGATAAATTTTCCAATCAGCATGAACTATGATGTCAATAGAAAAGTAATTTTAGTTTGTGCACTTGTGTATAGCCACAGAGTTATGAGATAAATTGGATATAGAAATAGATATTATGTAACAAAATAAACGATTTGCGTTTTATTCTCAGATTCTTGCCAGCATGGATGGCCTGAGGTTGCAAATCTTATTGACGTAAACAATGTGAAAATGCTATTTTATTACAGTTATGCACGCAAGACAAAATACATGATACACGTACATTACTGTGCTGTAAAAATTAATAAAACATAAAAATTTCAATTACATTTCCTTTTCACAGTTCTCAGTCTAATTCAAAACGTATGTATGATTTTTTTATGCTGTATAAAAAGTATAAGCACTGCTTTTTTACGCATCTCAACCTTAATCTTCATATGAGTCAAAGGAAAATTATGAATGAAACAAGATGAAAAAACACATGAGCGCATTTACTTTGCTGGAATTATCGTATATTTCCTAATAAGTCTGATATTAAAGGCACGTGCAGTCACTGCATGCAAAAAATTATTTTCAATTTCAATGAAATAATCGAATTGAGGATGTTGTTGCCCAAAAAATGTTTTGCTTTCAAGGATTTTCATGATATATTTTTGTAAAAAAAAATCTTTCGTGCTGCACGCTTAAGGTAAAGCTTTAAAGGGACTATAAATTCCAGCAAATGATTAAGAAGCAATTCTATTGTATTTATATTTAAAACTTTATTTTTGAACTTGAAAAAATTTTATTTATTTGTTCGCATGCTCACTTGAAGACTTTATCATTGAATTTTCTGCTAATTCTATGTTTATTTGCTACACAACTGATTTTATAGCACTTAAAAAGTATGAGCAAAAATTCTATCACTATTTTATATCATCAAATCGACTTAAATTGTCTAAAAATTGCAAATTAAACTTTAAGGTAGTTTTTGAAATTGTAAAATATTAAAGTGTCAAAAGCGCGGGAAATTTCAACTTTCATCTCCTCTCACATTACTCCAAGACAACAAATTTTGTTCTTGTTACAATTTTTTTTATTATCCTGACATAAAAACAGCACCTTACATTAGGTAAATGAGCATACTAAGGAATAATGTAAACGGCATTTACGTTTACTTCCATATTCGTGAAAATTTTCATTTTCATTCTGCAAATGAAATAAAATTACGTAAGAAAGGAAATTTAAGAAGAAAATGCAGCAAATTGCATAAAAAATAATTCGATACTGATTTTCTTATTAAATTAAGGAAGAATTGCTGCATTTATTGAATGATGAGGAATTTTCCAATCAAATCTATCGCAATTCTCAACGATTTTTTACACGCTTCCACAGCAAAGTAAATTAATTTTGTTACAAGAGTTAACTAAGTTGAGTCTTTCGAGAGGATTATTATGGATGTAAAACTTCTTATAGCACTTTTGCAAATAAATACAAATTTTTAAGCATGACTTCGCCACTAATGCTGTTCATGAAAATTAAAAATCAAGGCATGAAAAATTCTTACAATAATTAAAATTTAAAATTCATGACTATGTGGAATCAAATGAGTCTTGAAATTTTTTGCATGAGCTTTTTTAAAGGTTTTTTTTTATCATCGTTGGTGTGTAAATGTCAAAAGCATACATGACAAGAAAGCTCTATGGAGGTTTTAAAATAAAGAGATTTTCGTGAATTGTTTAAGAAATTGGAATTTTTTGTTGGGTGTGAAGGATTTGGAAAGAAACTTCTTTATTCAAATCCGGGTAATCTGAAGGATAAGTTTCTCATAAAAATTTCATTATTTTTATAATAGAGAGTGGTTTTACTATGTTTACAGCTATAGCTATCAAACGTCTTGTCGCTAATGTAAATAAAAGATACGTTTGTAAGCATATGTAAACATGAATATTGAATTAATGTCTTTCGGGATTTATATATTGAATCAGATATTGAAACTTATAAGGTAACCATAAACAAGATACATAATATAACTAAGCAACAATACAGCTAAGTCATATTTGGAATGTATTGAATTCAATTTAATCTAATTTTTGTTCTTGGTGATAACTTAATGTGTATGCCACGACTAAGCTAAAGTTAAATAAATTTTCAATTATTTCTGAAGAATTCAAGTTGAATTGATTCAAAAAACTAAAGTGACTAAATGCTAGCTCTGTCTGGACTTCCATTTTCTATAAACTTTCTCTTTTGTACTGTAAGTCAACATATTTCATCATTAAATCTGCAAAAGTCATTAAAAACTTTTAAATGAAACTTTGTTAGGAAATGTTGCAGTTTTGCAATTCAAAGAGTTCAGAAAATAATTTATAAATCTTGAAGCAATTTTTCCGAATGACAGTCAAAAAATTTGTTTTTAAAAGCATCAGAAAAACTTTATTAAAATTTAATAAGCTCATGATACTTTTGTAAACTGAATCTTGCAATGAGTTTTTAAAAAAATCAATATTTATGATATAATTATGCGATTATGCAATATCACAGTAATTTAATTAACATTAATAATAATTAATCATTAAACAAAGCTTATGAAATAAATTTTTCATTGACTTGCAAAATAAAAGAATGGATATGAAAATGATAGAAATTGCTGTTTGAATTCTTTGACTGCGCTTTACAATTTTATGAATTTTGAATGAATTTTTTCCCCTCAAGACAGCTACATAGGAAGATTGAGATCTGTTTGCTGTTTCTAACGTTCTTATGATTTTTATAATAAGCATAAATTAAATGTTTAACTTAGATTTGAAAACAAATTGCAAATTAAGCTTAATTGTTTTGAAAGTGAAATTGGGTTACGGCAGAATTTAAGTTCCAGAGTTAAATTTTTTGATAAGATTGCGTGAATTTGTAAAGTTAAGTTTTAAAATTTTTAAAGGTTTTCATAGTATTTTAAGTTTGAACGAAGTTGGTGTTCTGAAGTAACTTGATGACAAGACTTTAGTACTTGAGTACTTGAGAACAGCATAACAGCCATGTGATTGAAAATCTTCAGAACTTCAGGTCACATTCAACAAATCTTATTCTTTTCCATTCTTTAAACTTTTGAATAAGTTTTGTCAAATAAAAATTCATAGCAGGCAAAACATATTTTAACCTTAGTAAGTAGTAATGTGGGAACTATCATCATCATGACTGCTTGACATAATCCATATTGTTTAAGCTTCAATAATTTTAATTTATTTTCATAACTTTTCATGCAAATTAATTTTTCTGAATCTCGTCCATCCTTTCAAATCAAGTTGATTATACTAACCTGGGCGCAGAATATGTGGAGATGAAATTTAATGTGACAATAAATAAAAGAAGATAAACATAATTCAGTCGTGATAAATCCATTTCTCTGTAAATAAAACAAAACAAGGCATTGGTGAATAAATTTTAATTATTAAAAGTTTTTATTGAGTTCTAAACTAATAAAATTCGGAATATTCAATATTTTGTGAGAGTGCTAGCCAACCTTTCTAGTCCTATGTAGAATTTCTAATCCAATATTGATGACAGATGTGAAAGTTTTTAGCATATTGCAAAAATATTTTTGATTTCCAGAACTTTTGCAAATGTGAGTTTATTTTGAAAATTCTATTTTTTCATATCGAATAATTAAAAACCAAACCAGACTTGCTCTACGAGTTTTTCAAAATGCAACATTGACGTCAGAACGAAATTTCAATTTCGGATGGAATGAAAAAGAGAGAAAATGAAAGCGAGTAGCAATGAATAAATAATGATACAGAAAAAAATTCTAATTTATTTTGATTCGGATTTTTCGGATGTAAAATTTTTAAAAGCACAGATACTGTCGTTCGTTTCAAATACAATTCAGAATTGACTGTTCTGACTCACATAAAAATGGTTCAAAGGAAACCGAAAACTCAAAAAGTTCTTGCTGAGAGTCAATTTTTCACCATGACAATTGCTTTCCTGTGATTTGTTGGCAGAACAATTTGACAAAAATATTTATTTTATTTTTTTTTTTTGATGTGGGTAAGTGAGAATATTTGAAATTTCAATCAATGTTTTTTATTTCATAACTTATTCAGGTATTGGCTAACAGCATGGATTTAAATTGGAATTTATATTTTCAAAAGGTGACCTTACACTACGCAGATTCTTCTTTATTAATAATTTGATTCTTTTTGACAAGCTTTGAAGATTGAAGTAAATCAATATTTTGTTGATACATAGAAGAATTGGATTGATCGAGCGCTGGACACGTCCAAATGAAATTAGAACATATCATTTTCGACTCAATGATTCTGGAATCAATATTTGATTGTTAAAACTTGTCCTTATTAAACCATAAATACAGTAAATCAAGCTTTAAAACTTATAGGTCGATTAGAACACTTTAGATCACTCTTAGCTCTTATAAATGAACGACAATTATAACAATTTCTCTTTCTTGAGCCTGTCCAATTCACTAAACAAAAAATCAACCAAAATCTCCAACCTTTCTTCTCAGCAACAATGTAAAAACAAAGCAACTCCAATTCACGTCATAAATGCGTTTGGATGTAATAAGCTTATTTTCACATTCATCACTTCCGCATCATTGAATGACATACGAGAGGCAAAAGAGAACCCATTCATCAAAAACACATTGGAGGATTTAAAATTATTTTGAAATGATTTAAATTCGTATGAAAAAAAAGGAAGGCAGAGAATGAAATGGAGCTTAAGCATGTCAAGAAGTTTGCATTAATGTGCGCTTCTCTTTTGTCTAGAAAATCCTTCCTAACGACACAAAGAAATCATATCCGCATTGACAGGTTGTAAGGAGACAAAATGTGGAATATTTGTCTTGTGTATGAGAGATATCCACACCTGGATGTTGAATGGTTTTTGTTACTGCGCTCACGTTTTTAAAGCTTACAAAAAGTCACTGATTTGCATGATGGCATTGTTCGACCCATTCAGCAGTACTCATTAATAAACAGTTGATATTGGTGTGACAATCAAGTACAAATCTCTAAGGTTCATTTTAAAGAAACGTAAAAATATCTTCAATGTGTAGAATGTCAATGTGAATTATCTATAAAACAGTCTTATATGACATTAAAATCTACTGACAATACTTTCTATTTTTGCATGGATTCTGATTTGAAATTTGATTATGGAACTTGCTTAGAAGTTGTAGAAGTGTTGTTTTTATCAATTACATCAGGTCCTATTGACAGTTTGTTCTACTAAAGAAATAATCAGAAATTTTTTGTAGCTCTTATCAGTCACACATATTTCGACTCTAATTAATATTTTCCGACGCTTTTCTCATTGGAAAATAAGTTTCTCAATGTCTATGTCCCATAAATTATGTTGAGCTGCTAGATTTTTATCGAACATATCGATAATGTAATTGTAATTACTCAAATTGTAATCTGATAAAATGAACATAATGTTTACGTGAGATAAGAGAAAAATTAAATCATGGGACGAGTTTTGCTTCATCCTTAAAGCAGGATGATTAATATTTTGTAAAGTTTTATGCTGCTTTGTGCTTGCGCTAAGGAAGTATTCTACAATTTCATGAAAAAACATAAGAAATAATAAAAAGCTAATAATTTATTCATTTCTACGAACAGGAACAGAAAGAACAGAAGATCTGGAAAATTTAAAAAATTCTTTACTCATTTTTTGAGCTTGGGCGAAAATAATTTCCTGCGGATTTTCAATTATGGAAGGTCGTTTTTCATGCTCCTCATTAAGGTAAAAGTGAAAAAAGTATGAATCTTCCTCCTTCAAGCAACGTCACTTTATATAAAACTGGGATCGAAGTTATTTTTAGATGATGGAATATCTGTCGTGAAATAAATGCTTTGTAGCACTTATGTATGTTATCAAATCTTATTTTATTGAGTATTAAATACTGCTTTGAATTTACTTATTTTCTGGTTCTGAGAAATTTTGTAAATGCCTTGCTCACAAATTATATAATCTTTACAAAACTGGAACAACAGATTTTTTTTTGAAAATTGGAACGGAAAATCAACTTCATCATCAAAAATCAATAAAATTGATAATAAAGAATTTGGTGTTAAAAATTCAGCAATTCTGATATTTTCTCGTGCTTTCTGAGAATTATTTATGAAGAAAATTTCGTATTGGAATTTTAAAACCCTTCTTTGGACGCATTATTAAAAAGGGTTGTTACAAATTTTACGTTTTTTTTTATGATGGATGGGTTGATGTGTATCGTAAAAAATTAGCTACGGTCGAAATTGTTACGTCATAATTGAAATTGGAATTTAAAAATATTCGCGGGAAATTAAAGTGGCAAAGGATTGAAAATTCAAATTAAGGTTGATTTAAAAGAAAATATGAACTGAGACTTGCCTGAGATTGATAAATTGAGTTCCAGTAAACAAATTGGTTAAAAATAACAACACAAAAACTCCGCAACTTATAAAAAATTTCAAATCTCTCCTAAAATCCCTAGTCTAATGACGCACTTAAAATCAGTGAATTTGTCTTGTAATTTCTTGTAAGCTTCTGAATAATTAAACTTGTCAAAATTTAGACATCAATTAATCTCACAGAATCAAGCATAAACGATATTCATCTTGAGCATCTATTTCCATCAAAATCAATTAGAAACGATTAACTCTGATAACAAATTTACAAATTTAGAACTTTTTGACTCAAGCTCGTGCTTTATCGTCTGATTTCTTGACACTGACTCGATTAATGATGTACGCAACTTCATTTTTCAAAAGAAAATTTGTCGAGTTTCTTCTTGATTTAATATTTTCTGCTAGTAGCAATTGAGCATATCCGAAAATACAGCTTAGATGTGTCAACAATAAGAATATTGAATGAATAGCTTCGCTCTTTTATAGATTGCTGTAAAACACAGTCAAATTGATGTTGCTGTTTTGAAAAATTACAGAATATTGTGATGTGAAATTAAATTTGTATTGAAAAAATTCAATCAAGTTTATCTCATGCTGTATCCTAATCAGACTTGATTTCACTCATCGTATATTAATTGACAGTGAATTGAAATTGAGAATATATAAAGGGTGTAGAATTTGATTTCATGAATAATTTTGTAAATTTTGCTTTATTTTAATAGATCTGAGATACACGGTTAGGTTTTACCTTACAAATCCCTCTTTTCACCTTTACTAGTTAATCATCAATCTATCCTTCGATCCTTAAAACTTATTTTGTTGGAGAAAATATTAAATTGGAATTTCTAAACTCTAAAATTCAATTTTCCATAAAAATTCCAACACCGCACTTCAATCTAAAAATTATGCAGCCACAGAATAATAAATTTTAATTCTTATGCATGATACTTAAGCACAAAAAAATCATTACAATGTTTTCTTATCAAAAAAAAATCCTAATCCTATCATCCTACAAAGGTATAGCAGCATTAAAATATTATCATTTTGTTGCCATCACTCTTGTTTTCTTTTCTTCACACAGATGTACATGATATTGCATCGTAAAAAATGGTACTGAAAATTCCAAATGAAACATTCATGAGAAAATATGGCTTATACTGTGTAACGAGACAGGTACGGAAAGGAAAATAAATAATTGAAATTTTTCAAATGCTGAAATTTGTTTTATATTTGAATAAATAAAGCTTTTTAATGTCTAAAAACTAATTGTGGATAAGTCAGATGTGAAATGTGGTGAACGAAGGTCGGTAAAATTTAATAGTCAATAATTGAAAAGTTGTGTACTCGAAACCAGCAATTGGCTACAAATTTGTTCTTCTAAATGAGAAACTTTCCATTGATTTTTGGACGGAAAAAAGACATTTCATGATTGGCATTACCTAAACCTGGACGTCAATAGAATTTAATCAATTTTTCAATCATGCTACGGACATTTCAGTGTCGAATATTTTCGACATTTTTAAATTTAGTCGACCTAGCGTTTGAATATTTTAAAACCGTTAAAAAGTTGTCAATTTTAAGATTTTAAGCATTAATATTTAATTTCTAGTATTTTTCTTGGACGATTTTAGCTTAACTTAGCTAAACACGAAGCTAAGAATAAGAATCGTTGACCCAAGTCTTGTTTTTGCCAGTGTTTGCAAGAAATATTCATGAAAATTTAACGGTTTTTTGAAATTCAAAGCAAAAAATAACGGACTTTTCGACGTGTCCGTAGCATGTTTTCAATCTATTCGCACTATTTATGACTGATTGCTTCACCAGCATTCAATATCATTCTAAACGGCTAGTATGTGCCTTTATTTCAGTTCCATTACATTGATAGAACCACGCATACAAAGTCAGATAAATGCACAGGAATAGCAACGACAATAAATTTCAATTAAAACCGTTTAGAGTTCAACAAAGTTATGAGAAAGAGAATTTAATAGTG